TACTTTGAGGTATTCTCGTAATAACCTTATTATTATACACCTTTCCGTCCAAGGATACACCATGAGAATGTTGAAATCCAAAATGTTTAGAACAGCGAACTCCTTTGTGTGGAGTCTTGACAAACTCTGGTGGCAACCATGTTTGTTTGTATTATTAGAGGACGCTTACGCGCGTATTCATTCCATATTTGGAATTCGTATTTCCTAATATGGTAGGATGAAAATACCTTTTAAGTTAAACAGAAATCTGTTATTTTCATTTTCAGTAATTAATGGCACATCAGGTATTGGAGCACTGGGGTTTTCAGCAGGACGAAACCATTGATCTATTGGAAAATGTAGATAGAATTAGTTTAACAATTTATAGTTAATTAATAAAACTGTTGATAAATTACAGGGGCTTGTTACATCTGTTATTTTGTAAGCAGAAAAGTCAATTATGTAGCAATGACTGGGTTAGTCCGCCGATATTTTGGACGTAACGAGACATTACAAGGCATTTTCATTAATGATGATGATGACGATGATGATGATGATGATGATCATGATGATCATGATCATGATCATGATCATGATCATGATCATGATTTAGTGAAAGGTGTAATGCTCATTAGATAAAAAAAAATATCGTACCAAAATGAAACAAGTCGTTTTCATAACGTCTGCTCGGCCATGTGGTTGTGATGCCTTCAATGTATTTGTAGTCTCCCATTCTTCAACGATTAAATCAAAACAAAAAAATATTTATGAAATACATTTTGAAAAGAGTTGTGACGTTATGACTGCAAATTATGCGTAGTGTATTTTAGGAATGGCAATATCAATGAACTTCATTCGCAACTGGACACGTTAGCAGTAGCGAATGGAAGTTCAGTATCAAGTCTCGTAGCTCTCTCACTCCCAACGAGATTTCGGCGGCCATTTTGAAACTCTAATAGCTTTTTGGGAATGTCAAAGATTTGAGTCGAACCACTCAGTTGATTTGAAATACTATTTGAAATAGTCGTAAGGTCTTGATTCAAATTTTTTCTCAGTCTCGGGTATAACGAAAACAGAAAAGGGACACAACACAATCAAACAAAAACAAACAAACAAACACAAATTGCTTCAATACTCTTGCGTACGAATTTTTGACTACGACAAACAATACATACCTATAAGCTAGGCCGATGGTGTCAGGGTGTGTGTCGTAGTGCAGAAGAATGTCTGAACGTTTTGAAGGTTCACCTCGACAGATGCTATCCCATTGATTCACCCCATCAATATCCATCTCTGAAAAAATATGGTAATTGTGGGACTAATTCTTTCGTGTTTTTTTTATTTACGACGTCTTCAATGAAAAAACAATTGCATCTATATCTCACCAATACACAATTTCTAAAAAATGGCCCTCTAGTGACGAGGCTGATCACGAATCGACATTTTAAACGACCTTCGTGTCGTCCATTTACGTCATGGAAGCGCTTTGTCACTAGAGGGCGCAATTTACAGACATAGTTTATTGTGATTCAATAATGGTGAAAGCTACAAGGACAGACAATTATAATATAACTAAATGGCAGTATGTAATTGTAGTATTTGTTAATTATTCAAAATAACTAGATGTTTCGGATAAAGTATTCTGCCATATGATTGAAATGAATAAAGTCTCTGTGAATTGAATATATTAGTATATCTCTATCTATGAATATTCATGAATAGTCTTCATACATATAGATAATTGAGTAAGAATACTACTATTACCTATTACGACATATCATATAGTGTTCAATATGTTGTCTTACTGTCCTCATTTTGTTGTTGTTACGTTGTTGTCGCGATGCGCCAAGATGGCGTGTTTAAAAGTCTACTGTGGCGAAATATTAGCTTGAATAATTACCTACCTAACTCCCCGCCGGCAACGCTCACTAAAGTTGCAAATACATCGGTGAAATGGTATAACCTGAAAAATAGTAGTATTTATGTTGTCATACATTTCATGTAGACTCGTATAAGTACAAAACTGTAACATAAACATATTACAATGGGTTAAAGGG